ACCGATAAGGCTGGGGTTGAATATCCCAGATATGTACTCTAACTCTTTTCGTTTAATTCCAGTTCAGTATTGCATCAAAAAATAATAATAATAAGATTATCGTTAATATAAGCTTAAAACTTATTTTAGGTTCTTTTACTTTAATAAGAAGTTTTATTTTAATTCTTTTATTTTAGAGGGTGGTTTTCTAGTCTTTAAATTTTATTATTTAGTCTTTTTTAATTTATTCATTATCTTTTTATATACATGTTGTATTAGATAATAAAAATCTTAAAATAAAATGATTAATTTTTTTTTAAAAAAAGAGAGATCAAAAGGAATTTTTTTAATACTTATTAGTTCTTTTATTTTAAAATTTTTATCATGTGATGCATATGTGAAAAATTAATGCAAAAATTAAAAAACTAAATATTAAATTTTAGAAATTAAAAAAAACTTTCTTAAGTATATAAATTAAAAAAATTAATTAAAATAAAAGAACCAAAATATAATTTTAATTTTATTTCAAAGCCAGCTTAGGTGGGTGGAGCACATTCGGCCGAATAAAAAAATGGATAGGTGGAGCCTCGTTTTCTTGGCCCTTTCTCTTTCTTGTCTTTTGCAATAAAAAAAAAACAGGCCTTCTTTGTCTTATTGTAATTAAAATAAATATCAGTCACTCATGTTAGATTTAAAAAACTTAGAAATTTCTTGATTCTTTTCCACATGCCTGTCTGTCCTTGTAGCACTGATAGTAGAGAAAGAACCCAATTTATTGGATAAGGGAAATGGTTTCGGCCATACATGGACATTGTTCAACAAGGCCTGGCCTTCCTTGGTTGGTGATGCCGATGCCCTTGATCTTAGAACTCTTAAGTCATGGGTTTGGAATTCCATATTTCTATGTTTCTATTTACTTTAAAAAAGAACCATCAGCTATGTATTCCATTGGTAGAGTTACTTGTACTTTATCTAAAGTTTAATTTTAATCTCTACATATAAAAAAAAAATTTACTGTTAAAAAGGAAAGGGTTTGGAGGGCAGAGAATCTAGAGCTTTAACCAAAATTGTTGACTATGCAAAGTGATATTAGGTAATATGCTCTTTACACGTGGGCATGACCTAATTGGTTCTCATGGATTTAGGTTGTAGCTTGCATAGGCTTCGGATACCTCAAGTTTAATAGGAAAGCTCCTATGAGGAAGCTTGTGTGAGGTAAATGATAGCTCTCAGGGACTCATCTAGGAACAACTTAGGTAAGATTAACGGAGCTAATCTAGTTGACATAGGTAATGATGATGAGATGGGCAAAGTACATCTAAAATGTAAGACTTGGTGACTAAAACAAAGAAAATAAAGGATAGTGAGGCCCATGCAAGGTCAAGCTTGGCTAACAATTGGAGGCAACCCCACATCCACGTCACCAATCACGCAAACCATTATCTATTGTGTAGGTGGTCTTTCTTTGTCTTCTTGTCATACGGCACTTGTTGTCATACCTTTTTGTAGATCAGATTTTTGACAACTATCTGAACTAAGCAAGTTTGCCTTAATTTAACAAAGCATGCCACCTCCTTACTATAAAAGAGGGATTCCTGCACAAATTCCAAGGCAATTCAAATTCCCTCTCTCCCTTTCTTGTTAAACCTTCCTCTTCTCTCCATTGTTATCCTCCTTACACCTTCACTAGAATATTGCTCATCTAAGTATTGGAGTGCGTACACCAAAGACCACCTTTTGGTCTTTAGCATATGCACTAACAAGCTTTCCTTTTGCCCACTTGCAGGTCAGGTTTCTGGAGAAGAATCACAACTTTACTCATTCATTCAACAAGTGTAGATGGTTGGGAAACTCGAATTTACCCTTCATAGCAATTTTTTGATTATCACAAAGGGAATTCATGACCCTTTGGTTTGAAGTTGAATGTCTCTATTTGGAGTTGCCATAATGGCTATTGGTCAATTCTGTGAGGGGGTAGGCCTAGGAGGATAAAAAATCATGGATAAAATCCTATATGATCTTTCGGAGCCAAAACAGATTACTCTCTCATACTCTTAGGACTGCTATTAATATTGACATTATACAATTTGAATGATGATTGATAACAAGGCAAACAGTCTTTGACCTTGAACTCGTTTTTTCTTGTCCTCTTCCAGAAAGGTTGGACAAAACTAACTTTTGTCAGGTCAAATATTTACTTTCCTTGCACTGGTTAATCTCCCATTTTCTTGGAATTTAGAAAAGGGAAACTGATTTTGATGGTTTGATATTTTCATGCAGTTTAATTGGTTCAATCATAATTGTTGCAAATCTAACAGAAGACAACCATATCAGCATTGAGAATCAGATTCCTCATCTGAATCTGCAACACAACCAAGCAGTCTATCCTGAAAACAGTGAAACTTTTGCAGATCTACTGGAAAACAGTCCAGGCATTTTGTTACCTGATACGTGAGACTGGCATCTCTTAGTTACTTTTATTTTAATCTGTTCATGGTGCATATCTTATCTGAGTAATTGAACATTAATTACATGTTAGCAAAGCCTATTACTGTCTGCAGTCTTCAATCTTCAGAGACATACAATCCAAGCATACATTTGGACTAAAGACATGCAATATTTTGATATCAAATTCATCAAAAAGTAATGGTAACACATCCTTGCAAAGTAATATTTTGTCCATCTTGTTTCACGGGCGTCTGAACACAATTTTCTTTACAATTGCATTTGATTCGATTTGATTGGCATTTTTTTTGGAGTCATCAAGCCAAAAGATAACTAAAAGAGACTACTCTGAAAATGTGGAACCTACTTTGTGGCCAAAGAAAGCAACCTATAACTGTAGTTATCTATCGATCGAAATCAACACCGGCTCAAATTGTATTCTTCAAGAGCATTTATTACATATAATTTCTTTCTCTTTCTTTCTTATATTTGGCCCACCTGTGCTGACACAAAGCATTTGATGTGCCAGTACCTTTTGAAATGATAGGCAGAGTGGGCCATCAGAACATGTGATTGGAGATTTCACTATCTATTTCCCTTACTCAAGAAGTCATGTGAGATATAAAATCTTGAATTCTTAAACCTTAATACATGATAGAAATCAAGGATCAGAGAAAGAGCATAATGGGAACTCTCCTGCCGTTTGTGGGAATGGTGATTGTGATTTTGGCTCAAGTTAGCACTGCGGTAGTAACCAAAGCAGCAATGTCAAGAGGGGTCAACAAATATGTTATTATTGTTTACTCTAACGTCCTCTCAACCCTCGTTCTTCTTCCTTGCTCTTATGTGTTCCACAGGTTTTATTATCTCCATCCCCTTTCTCATTCCATATCAATGAATTTCTTTTGTTTCTTTATTTACCAAAAGATTGTTGCATAAATCATTCTCACTTCTAGTTTCGTGTCTTCTAACGTTTAACAGATCGGTGCGTCTTCCACTCAGTTCTTCCATTCTCTGGAGATTCTTCTTGCTTGCCCTTGTTGGGTCAGTAGCATGCTCTAACAGCACTTTGAATTTGTATTCTTAATCACTTCATTTCTCGTGTTTTCTTGATAAACAAAAGTTTTTTCTTAGCATTCCAAAATTCATTTTGAGAATAGTATTCTTCTTTCTGATTTTAGGTGTGTTTCACAAATATGTGGATATGCTGGTATCGATTATAGCTCTCCTACGCTTAGCACAGCAATGCTCAACCTGACTCCTGCCTTCACCTTTATACTTACAGTCACTTTCAGGTTCCTGTTTCAAATTTTGAATACCCTAATGATTTCTCTGGAAATCTTTGAAGCTTCCTTACCTTAAAATGGTGTTTAGGATGGAAAAACTAGATTGGAGAAGCAGAAGCAGCCAAGCCAAGACCTTAGGAACCCTAATTTCAATTGCAGGGGCATTTGTTGCGACATTCTACAAGGGGCCAGCAGTAATCGGAACACAATCCATCACCATATCAGCTCATCTACTTGTTTTCTCTCCACAATTTAAGTGGGTCCTTGGAGCCTTTTTGCTTGCAACTGAAGCTTTAATGATGTCAGCATGGTATATTCTACAGGTTTGGACAATTAGTCGACCTTTAACTTAGTTTAAACAGTAGTTTAAAAGCATATATGATTTCTTTTCTTTTTTTCTTTTGGAAATTTGCAGACAATGATTCTCAAAAAATTCCCAGCAATACTTACTGTCATATTTTACCTTAGCTTCTTCACTACCATTATTTCCGCGGTATATTCTCTGATTTTGGTTGAAGACACAAGTGCCTGGAAGCTAAGACTTGATATAGGACTTATTGCGGTTTTACACTCGGTAATCAAATACCAAGCCTTGTATGTTCTATTTTGATCATTTAAGAACTTGGATGATCAGAGTTCATAGTTCTTCTGTGAAATGCAGGCGCTAGTTGGGACAGTCCTGCGCTGCACCTTGTGTGCATGGTGCATCAGTAAGGCAGGACCTCTCTATGTTTCCATGTTCAAGCCCTTGGGTATTATTTTTGCGGTTGTCATGGGAGTTCTTTTCTTGGGAGATGCACTTTGTGTTGGAAGGTATCAGAGAAAATTGAGGAAACTTTTAATCTTTACTAATTTCCTATTTTTCTTCATTATCTTGGAAAATTTGAGAGAAAAATAATATGGACTGCCTGCTTTATTGCAGTATGGTTGGTGCAATCATAATTGTGACAGGATTTTATGCTGTTATGTGGGGGAAAGCTAATGAAGAAGAGAAGTCAAGGGAGGAAAGTGGGTTGGGGACTTCCACTTTATCAAGTGAGAAGGTCCCTCTGTTACAGAACAGAATTGAAGAAAAGAATTCTTCTGTATAAATTTGATTTTACATGTAATTTACAGGATAGAAGGGCCCATCTCCCATGTTGAAGCCAAAATCATGCAGAACAGGTTAGGGGTATGGTGATTTTAGGGATTATGGGATGCTTAGGTAACAAACTTGAAATCAAGCAGCCCAAAGGTCACTCTCTTGTCAAATAGAACTGGAGAAACATAGAAGACTTATATAACAATACTTATATCAGTAATTTAAATTAAATGTTAGCAAAGTTTCTTGTTGGTGTCTGCAGCCTGCACAAACATACCATCAAAAAGAAATGCTATGAAGTTTGATTGAATTAGTAATTTATTCCCTTGTGAGTGTGAACTAAGATCCCACATTGAAAAAATACAGAAAGAAAGAGTGGCTTATATATGTGAAGACCCATGAAACTAATAAGTTAATTTTTTGGTTCCAATGTGATATCAAAACATGTAATAGATTACTTAATGTCGTTAAGGGTATCTCCCCCAACAGAAATTTTTTAAGTCCGGCTGTCACCTTAAAGGATTAAAATATTTTGATTCCATTAGCATCTCGTTTTTAATCAAATCGTACAACCAAAAGAGATGACTCAGAAACAACACATTTTAGAGTCACTTTCTTCATAATGTATGTAAGACAGAGAACTAAGATTTTTGGTAAAAGTTTGTTAGCAGTTCCTTTGTCTTGTTTGCTTACATAAAAACAAAAGTTATATAAAATGATTGGTGAACCAGTCCATTTTATGTATTTTAGTTTATAAAAATATCTATGTGCTTTGGAAGCACTCTTTTCCCTCTATTCTTCAGCCATTAGCCCTCCAGTATTGGCACAAAGCAATTGGTATCCCAAATCCTTTTCAAATAACAAGCAGCCAATGAGCCAAGTCATGTTGGATATAAAAATGTTGAATTATTAAATCCTAAAGCTTTTTCTTTATGTCCACTCAAAGAAAAGGGCTTTCCATATGAACATGATTATGAAGATATGACAAAAAAGAGAGGGTGGGGTAGGGGGCAAAAGTAAGTTCTACATTTTGCTGGTGCATCCAGAAAGACAGAGAGTGAGAGCAGAATGGGGACTTTCCTGCCTTTTGTGGGAATGGTGGTAGCAGTTCTGGCTAAAGCTAGCGGCATGGTTGCAGCCAAAGCAGCCTTCTCAAGAGGGATCAACAAATATGTTATTATTCTTTACTCTAACATCCTCTCCGTCCTCATTCTTCTTCCTTTCACTTTTGTATTCCATGGGTCTCGGTATCTCCTTCTCCTCTCTGATTACATACTACCGAAAATTATGGTTTTGCTGTATTCACCTAACTATTGTTGTATAAATCATTCTGATTTCTATTTTCTGCTTTTCTGTCTTCCAATTGGCGGCAGGTCTGCACGTCCTCCACTTACCTTTTCCATTCTTTGCAGATTCTTCTTGCTTGCTCTTTTGGGGTCAGTAAGATGATTTAAAGTGTACTTTGAATTTAGATTCTTACTCAATGGTCAATACCAAGTGTTTGCTTATATATATATTTTTTTACATATGATGGTCTATACAACAGTAATACCCCCCTTCCCCTTTCCAAGATCCCTCCACTTTTATCTGTTGAGAGACGTGTGCTTGATATGCTAATTATAAGGTTTCGCATTCTAATTTCATTATGAGAATATTGGTTCATGACTCTTCTCCTCGTGCAGGTTTGTTATGCTAGTGTGTCAATATACCGGCATAGAGTACAGCTCTCCTACACTGGGCACAGCAATGCTCAACCTTGTTCCTGCTTTTACTTTCATTCTTGCAGTCACTTTCAGGTTCTTTCAAATTTTGAATAAACGAATGATTTCTTCAGAAATCAACTACTGTAGTAGTACTTCAATTCTTCTCAATATTTTGAAACTGCCTTGTGACTTTATCTTAAAATGGTGGTTTAGGATGGAAAAACTAGACTGGAGAAGCAGAAGCAGTCAAGCCAAGACATTAGGGACCTTGGTGTCAATTGCGGGGGCATTTGTTGTGACATTCTACAAGGGGCCAAAAGTAATCAAAACACAATCCCCCACTGTCTCAACTCATCTACTTCTCTTATCGCCGCAATTAAAGTGGATCATTGGAGCCCTTTTGCTTGCCACCCAAGCACTTGTGCTTTCATCAATTTATATTCTTCAGGTTAGGAGATTACCAAAACCTGCCTGCCTTTCATTTAGATTAGTCCCAAAAGTTCTTTAAAAACTTAATACCGATTCTCTGTTCTTTTTGAAAATCTTGCAGGCAATGGTTCTCAAAATGTTTCCAGCAGTACTTACTCTCCAATTTTATAATGCCTTCTTTGGTGCCATTCTCTCTACAGTCTATTCTTTGATTATGGTTGAAGACTCTAGTGCCTGGAAGCTAGGACTTGATATAGGGTCAATTGCTGCTTTATACTCTGTAAGCAAATGACATTCATATATTAATTATACAATTTAAGAAATGTAGAAAAATCCAACCTCATCATTTATGTATGATTGCTTCTGGGAAATACAGGGGCTTGTTGGAAGTTTCCTGCCTTGGACCTTGATGTCATGGTGCCTCAGCAAGACAGGACCTCTTTTTGTTTCCATGTTCACACCATTGGCTATTATTTTCGCAGTTGTCATGGGAGTTCTCTTCTTGAGAGATTCTCTATATCTCGGAAGGTATAAGAGGAATGATTTTCTTTCACTTTTATGAAAGGAAACTAATATGGACTACCTGCTTTTATTGCAGTATGATTGGTGCAGTCATAATTGTGGCTGGATTTTATGCTGTCATGTGGGGGAAAGCTAACGAAGAAGAGAAGTCCAGGGAGGAAAGTGGGTCCGGGACTACCACATTATCCAGTGAGAAGGTCCCTCTGTTGCAAAACAGAATTGAAGACAAGAATTCTTCTGTATAAGTTTGATTTTACAGGAAAGAGAGGCCCTTCCCCCATGTTGAAAGTGTAATCACGCAGGACATGATAGGCGGTATGGTGGTTTTATGGATTAAGGGAGTTATGGAAAAGTTCTCTTAGTTTTATTAAGATTAGTTCTCACATTATTGTTAGTATTTTCATTACAAGTCCAAGTTCTAGTTTAGTTAGAATCGGAATTTTATTTCCTTCTAATTCAGTGGTCTTAGGAATATCTATATATGTTGTGAATACTTTGAATTTTTAGTTAGTTAATTCAGCACTCTTGAGATTGTATGATGCTTTCAATCTCAGGTGCGACTTGCAGGATCACTTTTTCATACCATTCATCCATAAATCAGTTCCTTTATTTCTTATTTTACTGTTCATACATAAAACATTCCTTAAAAAGCCTGAAGCTGTTGCGGGGTTCGAGCTTGGAGAGAGGATAGGGAAAAAGCTTGTTCTGCTAATTATGGGGATGGTGATGATGCCTGTATAAACGAGGCCCATTTCTGTTGCTATGAAGTGGAAGCTGCGTCCAACCCAAAAAACAGAAGTTAATTATTAAATGGTCGGCAACCACTCCATTGATTAGATTTCCACAAAAGCCAAAGTATCCAAGTCCTTTGGAATTATTTTCTTCCCTCCTATCTTATATCATTGGCCTATCAGTTTTGGCACTAATTACTCAATTGATTTTTCAACCCCTTTTGATATAATAGGCAGAGACAGAAGAAAAGTCAAAGTAGCCTCTTCATTTGTCATTAAAGAACTTCAAATTTGTTTGTGTATCAGAGAATCAAAGTGCAAAATGGGGACTCTCATGCCTTTTGTAGGGATGGTAATTGTGATCTTGGCACAAGTTGGCAATATGGTAGTGATTAAAGCAGCTTTGTCTAGAGGGATCAACAGATATGTTCTTATTGCCTACTCTAATTTCCTCTCCACCCTTATTCTTCTTCCTTGCTCTTTTGTGTTCAACAGGTCTCGATATCTCCATCCCCTTTCTCGTTCCATATTAATGAAACTGCTTTCCTTCTTTATTCACCAAAAGCTTGTTGGATAAATTAATCTTATTCTAGCTTTCTGTCTTCTGTTGATTCACAGATCAGAACGTCTTCCCCTGACCTTTTCCATAGTATGCAAATTCTTCTTGCAAGCCCTTGTTCTGTATGTATCATGTTTTAAGTACACTTTCATTTTGGATTCTTGCTCAATATCATGTATTTTGTTTGCTTGATATGCTATGAAAAGGCTTCCCATTCTGGAATTCATTATGAGAACGCTGACCCAATAGTATTCTTCTTCTTTTCTTGTCTTTGTTAATTTTTAAAGAAGTATGTATATCCCTTACTTCTTTGAGTGCAGGATTGTTGTACAGGTATCTAGATATACAGGTCTAGATTACAGCTCACCTACGCTTGATACAGCAATGCTTAACCTTGTTCCTGCTTTTACCTTCCTACTTGCAGTCACCTTCAGGTTCTTTTCTCTTTTCAAATATCGAATAAACAAATTATTTCTACTGGTGGCACTTCAATTCTTTTCAATATTTTGAAACTGCCTTTGGTTATCTTAAAATGATGGTTTAGGATGGAAAAACTAGACTGGAAAAGCAGAAGCAGCCAAGCCAAGACCTTGGGAACCCTAACTTCAATTGCAGGAGCATTTGTTGTAACATTCTATAAGGGACCAAAGATGACAGGAACACAATCCTTCACTGCCCCTACTAGTCTACTTCTTTTCTCACCACAATTGAAGTGGATCCTTGGAGCACTTTTGCTTGCAACTGAAGCCTTTATGACTTCAGTATGGTATATTCTACAGGTTAGGTTAATCCCTTGCACTTTTTTGTATTTTAAAAAGCAAAAACTGATATTTGTCCTTTCTCGGGAATCCGCAGGCAATGATTCTAAGAAGGTTCCCAGCAATAGTTACTGTGGTGTTTTTTGTTTCCTTCTTCAATACCATTATGGCTGCAGTATATGCTTTGATTTTGGTTAATGACACAAGCGCTTGGAAGCTAAGACTTGATATAGGGTTAATTGCTGTTTTATACTCAGTAAGCAATCACCAAGACTTTTATGTTCTATTTTGATGTTACAATTTACATTCAATACTCATCATTTGGTATGATTGATTCCATGAAATGCAGGCGCTAGCTTCAATTATCCTGATTAACACCTTGGCTTCATGGTGCCTCTCTAAGACAGGAGCTCTCTTTGTTACCATGTTCAAGCCATTGGGGATTATCTTCGCCGTTGTCATGGGAGTTCTCTTCTCCGGAGATGCTCTTTATCTTGGAAGGTATAAAAGAAAACATAGGATGGCTTTTCTCTTCTGATTTCTTTCATTTTCTTAGAATTTATAAGAGGAAACTGATATGGGGTCCCTGCTTCACTGCAGTATGATTGGGGCAATCATAATAGTTACTGGATTTTATGCTGTCATATGGGGAAAAGCAAATGAAGAAGAGAAATCAAGTGAGGATAATGGGTTGGAGAGTTCCAAATCGTCAAGTGAAACAGTTCCTCTATTGCAAAATAAAACTGAAGACATGAATTCTTCGATATAGTCTTCATTTTGATGGATAAATAGACAAATCACACCAATACCACTTTCTTTATAAATCCACCATGTATGATAGAAAGGTGTATTTTTGTAAATATTTCATCCATTCCCTTGTATGGTTACTTCCCTAGTTTGTTGCACTTGTTTGTGGATATGCTGGTAAAGATTTCAGCTCTCCCACACTTGGCACAGCAATTCTCAACCTCATTCCAGCTTTACCTTTATACTAGCAGTCATTTTCAGGTAATTGTGTCTTTCAAATTCCAAAAACCGGAACCAATTCACCCATTTCTTTTCTCATCACAACTGAAATGGATCCTAGTAGCTCTTTTGCTTGTAGCTGAAACTATTCTGCTTTCAGCAGGGTCTACTCTACAGGTTAGGTTAATCACCTGTCGAAAAGGAGAATCACCCGATCATCTATGTTGAATTCATCTTTCTGACTAACAAAGAAAATGAAAATCATAGCATAATCTCCACAGTCCATTGTACAAATAAACAATGAGGTTTTTTCAGTGGAATGGAGTGGAATCATGATCATTAAACCCTTTACTCCTTTCTTTTTCATTTTATCATGACCAAATTCAATTCAAGGACAAGAAAACAGAGCAACAATACCCATAAGAACTAGAGATGCATTTACCAATGCTGTTCGACATTTTTTATGTTTGTTAGAACCGTTAAGTAAAACAAAAGATGTAAAAATTATTTTATAATAAGAACGGTATTAATTTGTGAGAAATTAGTAAAAATTAATAAAAAAAATAAAAGGAGCAATCTTGGCAAATCATTATAGATTCAGTAGGGACATTATTATGTACAAAAAAAAGAAGGGACACTATTAATGTGGTGTGGGCTATAAAATTTTGTTTGTTTTGCTTACTGTTAAGAATTTGCTGTTTGCCGTACTGCACTAACACTTTTAACACTATTGTAACTAAGGGAATTGGGGGGCAAGGGAGGGGAAATGGGGGTGTAACAGGAATTCAACCCGGTGGTGTGGGTGGAATGCCCATACAGTGAACACACGGAGCCACGCACCAAGGTTCATTTGTAGTTTGTCCTTATGGCTGAAAACAAATAAAAGGAATGAATTTCTTTGCCTTGAGAGAGGGAGGGAGAGACTGCAGTGACACAGAGAGGAAGGATGGAGAAGAAGCTCGTTCTGCCAATTCTGGGCATGGTGATATCAGAGTGTGCGCTAGTGGGGTTGATGATAGTGGGCAAAGCAGCCATGTCCCGTGGGATGAGCAACTTCATCTTTGTGTTTTACTGTAATGCACTAGCTTCCTTAATTCTCCTTCCCTCTGCCTTTCTCTTCCACAGGTACCCTTTTTCACTACTAGCCACAAAAGCTTTTCATGTACTAGCCTTTATAAAGGTTTCCACTTTCTTGGCAGATCAGAGCGTCCTCCGCTTACTTTCTCCATCCTCTGTTGGTTCTTCTTGCTTGGCCTTTTGCGGGGCGGAAAATTCTATTTCCATTATCTAGCTCAATTTCTGAATATAAATTATGATGTGGGTTTGGTTCTGATTGGAGTTATTTTGGTGAATGAGTTCTAATTTTGTGAACTAATTGGGGTTTGATGGATTTTACTTCTATGCAGTTGCTTTGCCCAGGTATTGGGATATGATGGGATTTACTATAGCTCTGCTGCTCTAGGGACAGCCATGCTTAATCTAACCCCCGGTGTTACCTTTATTCTTGCCATTGTTTTCAGGTTATTATCTCCTCTTTCTGTACTAATTCTGTTGCTTTGTCACTGCAAAAGTTTTATTCACTCTTCAAAATCTTTATTCCCTTTCACTTTCCATTGTTTGTATGATGGGGGTTGATTTGTCGTTCTTGTTAGTTAATTTGCTTTCTGGGGTATCAGTGGGATCAAATTCTCTGTACTTGGGAAGACTCATTTTGGGAAATAGTGGAGTTGGGAAAGAATTTTGAAAACAAGTTCAATTTTCTTGTTCACGCTTGCCTGCAAATTGTCATATTTTATCGTTGATATTAATCAATATTATTGTTCCCCCTTCCTACTTCTTGTTTCTCTCCACATCTCTTATTCTCGAAATGCATTTCAATTAGAAGCAGCAAATTAATTGCAGTGAGTGTTCAATACCCATCAAGATTACACTAGTTAGTAGAAAAGTGCAATCTGTTACTCTAGCAGATGGGTAGATAGTTACTGTTTCAGGGAAACCTAAATTGATTCTGTTCTTGGTTCTAGGATGGAGAAAGCATATTTAAGAAGCTCCAGTTTTCAAGCTAAATTACTGGGAACCACAGTGTCAATTGCAGGGGCATTCATTGTGACCTTCTACAAGGGTCCTGCACTTCTGCTAACATCCCAACCTTCAGGCTTATCTTATAGTCTTCTCTTGCAACATTCACACTGGGTCATTGGAGGACTGCTCCTTGCGATTGATTGCCTGTTTTGTTCTGCATGGATTATTACACAGGTAAATCCCAATTAGACTTGCAGGAAAGTTGAGGCAAATCAGATGCATACTTTTTTTTCCCCTTTCTTAATCATATTCCTTTCTCTTTCAGGCATCAATCCTTAAGAAATTCCCAGCTGAGTTGATTGTTGTCTTCTTTTACTGCTTTTTTGTGACCATTCAATCTGCAGTGGTATGTTTAGTTGCTGAAAGAGATCTTGGTGCTTGGAGTTTTAAACCAGATATGAGATTGATTGCCATTCTATACTCAGTAAGTAGTTATTGTCAGAGAATAATGATCTTAACTTAGTCAATTGTTCTATTACACCTAGTTACTAAGGAGATATTTATGTGAAATTGTAGGCTGTTTTTGGCTCTGCATTTCAACTTGGCGTCACCACATGGTGCCTTCATAGGACAGGGCCTGTTTTTGTGTCTATGTTCAAACCTTTGGGAATTGTCATTTCTGTGGTCATGGGTGTCATTTTCTTGGGGGATTCCTTCTATCTTGGAAGGTAATATATTCATCATTTGTCATGCTATTCTTTGCCATTCTCTCTAAAAATAGGGATCTAAGTTAAATTTGTTTCAGCTCGATTGGAGCAATTGTCATTGTCCTTGGGTTTTATTCATTGATGTGGGGAAAGGCCAGAGAAGAGAAGATGGGTGTGGATGCTGGGGTAAAGAAACTGGAATCTGGCAGCCAAAAGGTCCCTCTGTTGTCAAATAATATTGGAGAAGCATAGAAGATACTTCTAAAATAAACCAAGCTGAAGGTTCATCATACACAACATAAAGGTAGAGAAATTTTATCCAAGTTCAGTGTAAAAGCTGCTTTTGAATTATTTTTCTTTCAAAAAGGCCTTAAAGTCAATATAACCTGATTGCTTCAGCAAAAGATCAGATGAAGAATGGTCCATTAGATTTTATATTTTTTTTTCCAGCCTACTGGAAATCTGTTTTTGACTTCACTGGCAAATCTCTGGATGCTTGGGCATTGGTTGCACTGTGGAATCTTAAAAGCTATAATGTCTATTACTTATTGTGGCATTTGGGTGGTAGAAACCCATCATTCTGAATGCATCAGTCCATCATAAAAATAGGATTTGAAAGTTGTTATCTTATATGTTTGACATCTACATATGGGTTTGGTGATGATGAATGACCTTGGATTTATTGAGCTTCTTCATTATGCAATTTCACTTGATAAATGACCAATCTTAATTGCAGAATTTATTCATTCTACCCGTCCAGGGCATGTATCTGCTGCAACCAGTGTGTATATATTGCATGGAAGGCCAGAGAAGGGTTGGAAAACTATTTGGTTCATTTCTCTGAGTCATATTCTTGAGAATTGTAATGAAGAATACATTTGAGGAATCAATATTTTTCAGACAGTCAGGTATACTCATTGTATATTATTTTTCATTTCATACATACATAATCATACTAGTACAAGTATTTGGCCAAAAAATGCAAGAACAAGTACATTAGCTTCAAATTGGTGCCTATGCTTGCTTTGAAGCAGCCATTTTATTTGTTCATATGGCACCAAATAATATTCTTGTTTCCCATTATATTTAAAATTTAAAATGCGTCATTGTCTATAGGAGAAGCATGCTCCCACATGGTTTTAGGTCAACAGACAACTTTTAAAGTATGTTCTGATAGTATCTCTCTCCAGTCACCACCAAGCATGAAAAGGCAGCCTTAGTTTCTTGGATTTTACCATTTCATTTTCTTTTTTTTTTTTTTTTTTTTTT